TAGTAAAAAAAAAAAAAAAAATAGTACCATGAGAGAGCACGTAGGAGTATGGTTAAAACAGAACTTCAACATCCAGTTTCCAAGGAGTTGTTTTAATTCATATTCACAAATTAACATGAAAGGTTTTTCATCTTGAATTGTATTAGATTGGCATTTTTGCACAGCCTTTTCTCAAGTTCCATTTTGGGTTTACCACACTTCTTCGTTCTACCTAATTATATTTGCAGGTTTGAATGGTATCTACATAATTTTCCAATCCCTAACTGACTTTATATAATACAGGTATATAACTGACTTTATATAATACAGGTATATAACTGACTTTATATAATACAGGTATATAAGTTCTAAGTTTATCTCCTTGGTTTTTGTTACCTTTGTTACAGTCATTCAATTGACCCATGACCCAAAAGTGTTTGTTTGTTTGTTTGTTCATGTATTGATTTTTTTCAACATTTTTATTCAAATTTGAATTCATTTTGACTGCTTCTGTTAGTGCATATTTTAATGTGTTATTGTTTGGCAGTTTATTTAAACAATGTTAAGATTTTATTTGGGCAACTAAAGATTAAATATTAATATGACCTCTATCTAATTCTCCCTTCATTTCAATTGTTAGAGTCATCTTATTGACCCCAAGGATGGTGCGATAAAAGATATTGTCAACTTCTGAACTATTTTTCTCATCTGTCCATATATGTTGTATAGCAAAATTGGTGAGACTAATTGATCTAATAGTTTTAAACACAGTTTTGGTGAAATCATTTTATTATACAGCCTTCATAGCTTTATTCTTCAGGGTGGTGATTCTTCTAGGTAATTAATTAATTTTTGCTTCACAATTGTAGTGAATAATTTCAAAAGAGAACTTGTGAGTCATAGCTCTGTAGTTTGGGATATGATTTGTCATCACCAGATTTGTGTAGAGGAACCAACATTTTTCACTTCTATCTATTCTGAGATGCTTCCACTTGAATATTTATATTCATGTATTTGTATCAAGTTATTGTCTTTATTTCAAAAAATTATAAATTATTTTTATGGTTACTAGTATATAGTATATGTTAAAGAACACGCCATTTCAAAAGACGTGTTTTAATTGTAAACGAAAGTTTAAATTTTTAAATGCCTTGAGGGCGTATCTATAAATATGCATGTGACCTGCAAAGTGAATGAATAACAAACTTCTTTGTGCATTTCTGTCTCGGCGTGCGGGTAAGTTAGCTCCTGTATTTTCATCTATTTTTTCTTGAGTTCGCGAGTGTCTTAAAATCAAATTCGACATATACACGGAGGAAGACAATTTGAAACACATTGTAAAGTTTGGTAACATTTCACCGTAAATATTTTGCGTTTTCAGAGAAAAGTTTTCATATTCATTGTCTGGCTTCCATCGAGACATTTTGGATTAGCCAGTGCATGTGTGTATGGGAGACACATGTCCTTGTTTTTGCATGAGCTTTGTGTTTGTAGTCCTTCTAAAAGTTGATAGATGGTGCCAATTGCATCAAGGTCTGCACATATTTAAGGTTTATGTATGGAAAACGATCCACGGCGATAACGTGTTATAACGTAAATTTTAAATTATTTTCGCGTTGTGGGGGGATGTACCGTGCAATAAATAACGATGACTCACATAGTATACTGTTTCCGATTCGCATCAGTCGTCCTACAAAAACGTGTTTTCGCAGATCACTTTACTATAATTCAATTTAACCAAGCTATAGTTTACTGGCGGATTTCTCGTATCTATCGAATGTCATCTTCGCGCCACTCATCGCTTGTCTTGCAGTTTATTTTGATATGTGCCGATCCCACTGTCATTTCATCACTCGATGTCCCCGTGTTGTGTTTGCCATGCCAATATTTGACATAATTAGTAAAACCGTGCATTTACCAAAATGATCACTTATTATACTTATTTTTGCGTCATGATTTCTTTTGGAAATAGTTTTTTTTTCGAACTCAGCAGTGATGAAGCAGATTGCTTATTTTTTGTTGACTGGCATCGGTTCTTAACAAAGAAACAAAGGCAGATGCAGTGAAGTTTGGCAGCGGGCACGCGAACGAAATTTTACTAACAAAGGCCCTATTTGGACTCTATTCATACGATTATTGTGGAGCCAGCTGCCTACTAGCAAATAAAAGACCGAGATGGGGAACGTCTATTGAGACATTCTTAAGAAAGTTTCAAGTGTTTTGTGTTCAGTCGCGTGGCCTTCGTGATTTATTTTGCATATTTTGATGCTGTTTAGTGTTTTTGAAAGGTGTCATATGTGGGTGTAATTTGAGTAAGGGGTAATTAATAAAACTGAGATATTATCACTAAATATTAATGTTATTTTGTTACTCCAAAGTTCTTGTTTTATTTTTAAACTTCTACTGTCATAAACACAATTTCTCCCATGAATGCTCTTTCACTTCTTCCAAAAATACATGAAACACTCCTTTGCAGCTGCACAATGTGGTCTGTGTATAAATCACAAATAAGCAAATCTGCCGATATTATCTCGTAAAAAAATTAAAGAATACATATTTTTACACAAGACGATTTTATTCAATGTTGTGTGTATGTTTTATCATGTAATTTTAGGCTGGCGATGGGAAGTACAGCTACGTCTAAGACTTTTTCATTGACAGTCGTGTGGAAAATTCCACATTTTTCCCTACTTGAACATGTGTCATTTAATTCCACACATTTCCCAGAAAAATAGCTCACATTCGGAACAAATTCACACATTTATAAAGTTGTATCAATTATCTTCAAATTTGTATATTTAAAAAAAATGTGTTTTTTGAGGAAAATTGCTGCATTTGTTGTTGTGACTATATGATGTAACAGTGAGTCATGCCTTTAAAATTCAAATGAGTATTTGACCATAAAACCTTTATTAGTCAGGCATTTTAAAACTCACTATTCTACAAATTCAAGTATTTTGACAACTTAATGAAGTGTTATTATTAGTTAATTATTTGTGTAATCTTTTCCAATTAATTAATTAAATTAGTCTACTAATTGCAGAACAACATGTTTTGTGGTTTTATAAAAATAACTACGGTATTTGTTTTTTATATTGTCAAGTGATTAACAGCAAACCAATAATGCAGAAATTTTAAAATTGTTATTCGATTTTTTCAAATGTGTCATTTGTTTTTGTTCAAATTATTTTTAAATGAGTTTTAATTAATCACAATATTTATGAAAATTGTAATATTAATTTATTTTTATAGTTTATTTGCAAAGTAAGAACATTATAATACAATAAATGTTCCAGTTTAGAGTAAATTCAAAAGATCTTTGTCCACCACTATGCACTACGCTTGCATATCTCTTTGTGCCTGTACATTACCTCCAGTGTCAACAACAATGGCAGGTGGTCGACTGCTCCAATCTGGGACAACCTCACCAATAGGAATTGCTTTGATTAAAAAGTTGCTTTTTTTGGCTTGAGGGGAAAGGGGACGCAAAGTTAAAGAGAAAAAACAAGTATGTAAACAAACAATAATAAAAATGGTAAATTTTATGTCTTTAATATCAAAATGTAGAAAACCCTGAAAATCAGTAGTTTGTTTGATCTGTCTATTTTTGGTAACTTAAGTATACAACTACACTTTTTTGTATATTTATTAATAACATTAAAAAACAATTTAATAAACATTGTGTTGAAAATAAAATAATATTACAAAACAAATCTTTGTTATTTTGATTGGTCTTCGCTATTACAAATATTATAGATGTTGGTTGTTTTATTTTTATTTATTTATTACGCTATGAAAAAAAATATAAAGGTGGCAAAGATGACCAGCACCTATAAAAAAAAACTTGCACAAATATATTATAATAATAATACTTCATTTACATATTAAATCTGTCAACAAAAGACAAAGGTCGTAGTCAGGATATTAAAACATAGCGTGATATTTAAAATATGCAAAACTATTTTTTTTATGTATTTCCATGCTTAATAATGATAAAATCCATGATAATGGTAAAATTCGATGAAGTATATTTAAATGCCGTTTTTCTCTGTGAAAGATTGTTATTTTTGGCATTAAACTATAAAGAAAGAAATTTAAGTTCAATTTTTTCAGCATACATTTCACTTTTTCATGCATTGCCCGGTACTCAAGATTTCATAGTGCATAATAAACCATCTTTTGTCTGAAATGACACTGACATGTTTGTGTGCATGTCTAATTATTTTGTCGAAAATGATCAGCTAATTTTGAATCGTTACAATTAAATAAAAGTAATGAATATTTAAAAAAAAAAAAGTGAAATGCAAGCTATAAAAGGTCATAGGTCATTAAATATGCAAGCATGTTCTCTGTATCATTAACTGTTTACTTAAAAGGAATGAGCATTGCATGCTGCTTCCAAATCAAATGCTTTCATTAATGTTGTATATTCTACGAGTGCTGGAGATAGAACTGCATACAATGTAATTTAAATAATTTTTTATATTATATTTTTATATTTATATCACTTTTTTGTTGGTATTATTAATATCTGTCAGCAAAATAGTTTTGCTTGTTTGCTCATTCAGACAGAAATAATATATATATTTTACTATTTTCCGAGCATATGCTCTTACATGAGGGAAAAAAAATTGGGGTGTGTGAGAATGTCTATCGTCAAAATAAGTCTTATTTTAAATGACTCGGCAAACAATAAACGCAATATTTGTTTCATATGAATCTCTGTTGGAGATATTAATAAAGTATATGTGGTATTAATAAAAAAAAATAAAGAGAAATTGGCAAAACAATTTGATGCAAACTGTTAGATAAAAAAAGAACTGTATATAGTGAATGTAGATTGAGTCATTCATTCATGCTGTAATGCTATATAAGGTAATAATGTATTCTGATGATGCCATCATCTAGTCTTGACTCAGGATTAATAATCCAGGTACCTAGTAATTGACCTGTGACTAACATATGACAAATCAAACCACTCTTGACAAACTTGTTCATTCAGTTTACTGCTGCGGATTCAAAGTGAAGTTCATTTTTGTTATCTAGCGTCCTCAGTCCTTGCCTTCCTTTTTTTCCTGCAGGTCATAAACTATATTAGTATTTTGAAAACATTCTCTTTAATTGTTCTATAATTGCATATTATTTATGAAATATTATTTTTTGCTATCTTTTTACACCTTTATAAATTTGAGACAATTTATTGATTTCTGCTTTCAAAACATCATATAAAAACATGAATCTTGTAATCTCATCATTGTAATCTCTAACCTCCCTAATGACCTCTGACCTGACACTACCCTCATATTCAATGTTATTTAATATTTTACTTATGATTTCTTTTTCTATAAAGCCTGGTGTAAACTATAGCAATGATATCATTCTGTTAACGTGGTTTTAACATACATATTGTTTCTGTCTTCCCAGTTTGTAATGTAATTAGAGAATCATGTTCAGCTTCCATAAACCTAAAGTATATCGCAGTGTCAATGGATGTTGTATTTGTAAAGCTAAATCATCAAGTTCAAGATTCACAGGTATATTGTCATATAAATATATTTATGTATTGTTTGTACATTTGTTTGTAATTTTTTTTCATTAGTCCCCGTTTGGACGAAGTCCGAAAACGGGGACTTATAATTCGGTCTGTGCGTGCTTCCGTCCGGAGTCATATCTCAGAATCCCTTGGACAGATTCCGTTCATTCTTTGCATGTGCCTAGTACTTTATGTGGGACATATGCACATGCAGTGGTTTAGCGATTCGATTTAAAATGGCCGACTGGCAGCCATCTTGTTTTTTGAAAATGTTGTATTTTGGACATGCTTTGTCAGTTGTCATTCAAACTTGGTACATAGACTACTCATGTTAGGATACATGTCCATGATGATTTATTTGACAATTGGATCAAAGATGGCCGACTGGCAGCCATCTTGTTTTTTGAAAATGTCGTATTTTGGACATGCTTTGTCAGTTTTCACTCAAATTTAGTACATAGATCATACATGTTAAGATATATGTCCCAGACCGTCTGTGAGTTCCTGAGTCTATCCGTCTGTGTGTCAGTCTGTCCGTGCGTCAGTCTGTCCATAGTCATATTTCAGAATCCTGTGGACAGATTCCGTTCATTCTTTACATGTGCCTAGTACCTTATGTAGGACATATGCACATGCAGTGGGTTTAGCGATTCGATTTAAAATGGCCGACTGGCAGCCATCTTGTTTTTTGAAAATGTTGTATTTTGGACATGCTTTGTCAGTTGTCATTCAAACTTGGTACATAGATTATTCATGTTAGGATACATGTCCATGATGATTTATTTCACAATTGGATCAAAGATGGCCGACTGGCAGCCATCTTGTTTTTTGAAAATGTTGTATTTTGGACATGCTTTGTCAGTTGTCATTCAAACTTGGTACATAGATTATACATGTCAGGATACATGTCTATGACGATTTATTTCGCAATTGGATCAAAGATGGTCGACTGGCAGGCATCTTGTTTGTTTTTTTATGCAGTATCTTGGACGTGCTCTGTCAGTTTTCATTCAAATTTAGTACATACATGTACTTTATACATGTTAGGATGCATGTCCATGACAATTTGTATTAAAATCTGGTCAAGGATGGCCGATTGACAGCCATCTGACTTTTTGGCCTTACTATATTTCCACAATTTATGTACCATTTTCATTCATATTTGGCACATACATCATACATATCAGTGTGTTTCATAATCAGATCAAAGATGGCAGAATAACGGCTGTTTTTATTTTTGGCCATATTACTACAGTGAACACATGTTTTGATGTAAATAAACAATCTGTTGTATACGCCACTTGGAACTCAAGTTTCAAGGACACGCTCGCGACAACCTCTCCGCTTTAATATGACGAGCACAAAGAGAACTTAATTTAACGGGGACTGTGTCATTTTCAATGACTTGTTTATTTGGGTATTCTACAGAATCATGTCCTGTTTACAGGCTTTTTGCAAAAAACATGCATTATTTACCAAACAAAAATACATGTACATGAAATATAAAAATACAGCAGTTAAAATTATTATATTGCACATCATATAATATAAATTATTCCAAGACCTCACAGAGGCTTTGAAAGCAATTGCCTTGAATTCCAAGCACTGCTTGGTGACCTTTGAAAAATACAGATTTTCCCACAGATTGCCGTGTTGGTACCAAATGCCTGCAACAAAATTACATGATTTTCAGACTCGCGAAATTCATGTAAATTAAAGGAATTTACAATACGTCCATCTGTAATTGCAATTTTGTGTCTGACTCAGTAATGTATCTAAATAATTACAGTATTAGTTGTTGGCAAATAATAAATATTCCACTTTTAAAGTTCTTGAAAGACATTTAAATTACATACTCCGCAGTTTCATTTTATTGGCATGTGGTACGCAACTCATTTGCATAATTAATCATGCTTATCAAGTTATGTAGGTTTACGTGTCAGTACTAGTATTCAATCTTGTGCTCTGATTGAATTGTTTGCTCACTACAGACTGATGTAATAATAATAATAAATAAATAAATAAAAATACTAATGTTTTTTTCTCGTCTTCTGCAGACAGTAAAAAGTACGAGTCTGACTTTGAGAGGTGCTTTCAGCTGAAGAATGATAAAAGAACTGGTGAGATTTGTAATGCATGTGTGTTATTAGTGAAAAGATGGAAGAAATTACCCAAAGGAACAGACAGAAACTGGCATCACGTAAGTTTAGAATCTTCTATTGAAAATTGTGAGAATTTAGTGCATTTAAGCAAAAAGCGCCCTCTGGTGGCAGGTTTCGGAATACAATTCAAAATGAATTTCTTGTTTGAATATTTTTGTACCATTTCAGTCAGAAAACATTTGCCTCGCATACACACCAGAGATTTTAGTAACAGTTTTTTCAAGAAACTTGTTGATCTTCAATCAGTGTTTCATCCTTTTTATATGGTGATAAATGTCTGTCTTAATTTTTTAGAACTATTGCTACAGTGTATATGTATTTGATAAACCCAATACAAGGACTTTTCTGGAATATAAAGTCTGACCGAAGATAAAATTAGGTCACAGTCTGATACGTATTAGCAAAAGTAGGAGCGTGTGCTCTATCGGACTTGAGTGCTCCTTCTTCCAAAACTTCATAGATATACATTTTGGGGAAATTCTTATACTTGAAGGCATTTAGTAAGTCCTGTCAACAACTCTGCATGAAATTTGCAGTGCAATATTTTCTAATGTAATATGCTAAGTCCTTGATATCTCATACATGCATTTGCATTGAATTTGGACAATGTGCAGTCTTGATTGTTCTCATAAATTTGCATTTTGAAATGGATACACATGAGCACTATACACTAGATCTGCATAACAAATTATTAATACTCTAACTTGGAACATCATAGTACAGTAAAAGTGTTTTCTTTTTGATGTCAGGTTCATAAGAATAACAAAAATGGGATTTGAGGGAAAAAAGACATACTCTGAAATGGGACATTTAGTATTTGTAAAATTTCTATAATGGAGCATTCTGATTAGTAAAGAAGCAAAAGATTGGTCTTAGTATGTATATTGTATACTTACAGGTGGTAGATGCAAGAGCTGGGCCGGGCACAAAAGCAATAAACAAAAGAAACAAATTAAAATTGAACAAGCGACCATTGAAGAAGAGGAGACATAGGAGGTTGTTGGCAATGCAGAAACGGGACAACTCGGAATCTGATGATGGATGTGGTAAGTTTTCTATCTGTTTTACCTCTAAAGAAAATAAAACTATCCCATCTACAATTGTTCAATTGTTCCAACTACAATTGTTCCATTATCAAATAGGGGTAAACTTAGAAACTTTGTTTTCTTTTAGGTAATGATGATGACCATTATTTGCCATCTCGTCGCCGTCATCGTCATTCAAGCGGGAATATCCCGAGTCCTACACCCAGTGACTGTAGCTCAGATGACGGCTTGTTTGGTTCTCTGACCTCAAATCGTAGAAAGAGGCTTACCCAGGATTCCCTTGCACCAGCTGCGTTTCCACCATCAGTCAGGGCGTTTCTTGACTTGTCTTTTTGGAAAAAGTAAGTTGCAATCTCTCAGACTTTTGATTATATAGATACAATAATTACCTATGATCATTTGGAGTTTGGGTAGATATAGATATAATAATGACCTGTGATCATTTGTAGTTTGAGTAGATATAATAATGACCTATGATCATTTGTAGCTTGAGTAGATATAATAATGACCTATGATCATTTGTAGTTTGAGTAGATATAATAATGACCTATGATCATTTGTAGCTTGAGTAGATATAATAATGACCTATGATCATTTGTAGTTTGAGTAGATATAATAATGACCTATGATCATTTGTAGTTTGAGTAGATATAATAATGACCTATGATCATTTGTAGCTTGAGTAGATATAATAATGACCTATGATCATTTGTAGCTTGAGTAGATATAATAATGACCTATGATCATTTGTAGTTTGAGTAGATATAATAATGACCTATGATCATATTTAACTTGAGTAGATATAATAATGACCTATGATCATTTGTAGCTTGAGTACGATATAATAATGACCTATGATCATTTGTAGCTTGAGTAGATATAATAATGACCTATGATCATATGTAGCTTGAGTAGATATAATAATGACCTATGATCATTTGTAGTTTGAGTAGATATAATAATGACCTATGATCATTTGTAGCTTGAGTAGATATAATAATGACCTATGACCATTTGGAGTTTGAGTAGATATAGATATAATAATGACCTATGACCATTTGGAGTTTGAGTAGATATAGACCTATGTTATGATTAAATTCTAACCAGTGGTTGTGTTTTGTTGTTTACACAGAGAAGAAGTATGTTGTGGTGTAATATTCCGGGGGCCAAGAGGTGAAGTGCTGGTAGATCCACAACTACTAAAACCATGTAAAGGCTGTAGACAAAAGAACCAACCAACATTTGCCAAGACTGACTCTGCCGGGGAGGAGAGTGAATGTTCCAGCAGTACTGCCAGTTCTCCGACATCGAAAGAACCTACAGAAAAAATGGATTTTGAGCAGCATGATATTGCCATGGTGATGAAAGATGAGATGAATACAGATGAACCGTCAAACTCTCTTGTCAAAAGTACAGTTTGTTCTCTTCAGCAGCAACAGTTGGTGGCATACTAACTGATATTAAGTCCCCCTTTACCATTACGAACTTTTCCACCCAAGTGCCCTTTTAAAAATTAGTTTTTAGACTCCACACATTGGTCGTTGTCTTGTGCCAATAAAAATCTACTTATATGCTTAACTTTCAGCATAGGTTCCATGCTAGCTAGCAAGAATTCTGATTTAAATTACTTGTATTTATATAATTTTTGAAATCACAATTTCACTGCCATATTTTTAGTTTTGTATAATTTAAAAACAAAAATACCATAAAAAATATTTATAATACAAATCTAGCAAGACAATAAATTCTGTTACTCTGAGCAATGATGTTGTAAAGATATTCCTGAATTCCTGATAGCGTGGAATCAATTTTGCTGAAAAGTTGATCATAGATTATTTTATTTTCAACTGTTAATACGTTTTGTTGAGAAATTCAATTGAACTTAAACTAATCACCAGCATCTATAGAAATGAATGTAGTATATAAACTGAAGATGTCATCACAGTCCATGACATTCATTCTATAGGATACCTTATTGTCTGTGCTGTCCATAGTTGTCATTTCATAAAACACAATGACAAACAAGTATAGTTTCTTAACTATGCAAACATAGGGGCCTTTATTCTATGCAAATAGTTTCGCTGCTTCCATTTACAGATTTTTTTCTCATAAACCCGGAATAGAAAATAAAATGCCAAATGCTACACTTTTCTGCCAGTCGAAAAAAAAAACAAGTATATCCTCAGAAACAAAATAAAACAAAAGAATCAGGACATAAAAACAAGGCAAATTGGATCATTTAAACAAACATTTTTTTTAAAAACTTGCAAGGTGAACAAGAGGTGGAACAAAGATTTTGTTTTTATATTTTGTTGATAAAAGTTGTCCTTAAGTAAACTGAATCTAAATTTATCAGTGTTACGTTTTAGAGATTTTTTTTTATTAAACTACTGATTAATCTTTATATTTTATATGATAAGAAATATTTTTTTTTTAGAAAACAAGAAAACACTGAAGATTGATTATTTCGCTGCTATTTATATATAATAAAAACATTATTTTTTTACTTTTGGACTTTGTACCCTGGTCTTCCCAAGCTTAACTGCTTAAAAACAAATGTATTGTGTATGTTGTTTTGTCTTGTGTATAAATCCCCTTCCTTATAGTTTCCAATGACAAATAATCCATCCCACTTTTATAAAATAAATCAAATCATTTTAAGCAGTATATATATTTTTTCAAGAGGTTATACAAATAATAAAAACTTCAATGCTTTTTTTTACTCCGATAGCGCAAAAAGTTTCATGGAAACAAAATATTGATGACTATTTTAGTCATTTTCAAAATCTTGTTTTAATCAAGTCAAGATTTGTTGTCATCTGCTGAGTAAATGTGTAATGTATTTGAAGCAGTTATTCACAGTTTTAGACTGTTTTACTTTAATACTTTAATTATGCACACTGCAATTATTTGCGTATTTATACTACATACAAAACATTCCATTTGATTAGCTAAATTGCTGTTTTTTATCAGTGATATTTAGAAATGTTATAAATTATCTTGTTATTCATTTAACTTATGCAATTTTATCTAACCTACTTTTATATTTTGAAATTGATTCAAAAACGTGTGGGTTTTAATTGTTTAAATGTCTTTTGTTGCTTTCCACAAAATAAACATCCATAACTTTTTGAACGATTTCATTAAATCCAAAATTAACAAAGAAATATTTGAAAAATGCATAAAATATGGTAAATGTCATGCCAGAATTATTCAGGAAAATGTTACCATAGAAACGGTTAAATTTGTGTGCAACTGAATTGAATTCAGCTCCAGTATTTAACATACTATTGAAAATAAATTTAAACAACAATCTTTCCATTTCATTATTTTATAAAAGGCTTGTTTAGTCTATTTATTATTTCTTTATTTATTTATTCAAAGTTTGATACTTGTTAGTTAGTTTGCTTTATGCTGCAGCATTGTTGCTGCTTTGGTAGAACTGCAGCTGTTATTCAGCAGCAGTGCCACCACCACTGCTCATGCTGCCTCTTAAACTGAATTATTTGTTGTATTCATACTAATGGTAGCTGTACTGTATTTCGTTGTGATATATATCAATATACTCTGCTGAAAATATACCACAGAATAGTGTATCTATTGGCTGTAGGATGTAGGATGTACCATGCTATATTATATTATCAGATACACTGCACTATATTGCATTCATTGTCATATACATCACAGTAGTAGTATTATGTATTTTAATGATACATAACAGTCATATGTAACTAGATGCATGATTATTTCATACAACACAGTAGTGTATTGTCAAATACACCAGCTTGTTTATTGTTTATTATACAAGACATTTAATATATAGCTTGCCTGATACATCACATTACATATACTAACACAGCAAAGTATTTCTACTAATACATATTACTCTAGTCTATTGTGGGTGCTTTAGAGCATATAAACTGTGTTTCTAATATATATTTTAAAACCAACCAATATTTATAAATCACTGTATGTATACTATATATGTAGTGTATAATGCCAACCAGTCACCGTCCTGCTATTAGACACAGCACAGTAATGCAGCTAACAATCTCCTTCGGTTAGGTTACATATTTTGTTAAGCTTCTCAGGATATGTAAGCTGCTTGTAGGCTTCATTTCTGGAAGTAATTTGCATAAATCTCCCATGATGCATTGTAATTCTAATTTTTAACATGTGGCAAATTGCTGCTTCAAAGTGAATGGACTTCAGAATCATGTGAGGTTCATAATAAAGTTCACAAACTTTACACAAGAAAATCACGAAATATTTACAAATAAAAGGAGATTGTTGCCTGTTAGAAGTGACTGTTACTTCTGTGTATCGTAGTGTAATTGTGAGCTTATATTAGTGTATAGTTTACTGTGCACTCCTGCATGTTATGTAAGGAAGATGTGCGCAAGGTATGGATAAGTTGTAACATTTTGTATTTTTAATAATGTGACAGGAAATGAAAGTTTTGAAATGTACATTTATGTCAACATTGAGACTTAGAGTGTACAGATTAACTGTTTGAAAACAACTGTAATTGTGTTGAAGGGTCATGCATAATTGTGATCATGTGACCAATGTATTGATGACTGAAAGCTTGTCTACCAGTGTACTAGTAACAGAGTAATGCGTTTAAAGTCCTATATATTTTCTGAAAGTATGCATTGCTACTGTTGTTGGTGCATGGCAATGATAAATTCAATAAGCATTGCAAATTATCGACACACTGTACATCGATAATGATTTTGGTTCTTTAAACTTCAAAACATCAGACAGTGTAAATGCCATGATTATATATTTTTTAAATTTGTAAAACAAAGTTGGCACAATAAATATTTACCTGCACATTGGTCACTACTTTAATTTCTACAAATGAATAATGTAATAAGAAAAAAGGGGCCAAAGGGTTAGTCAAGTTGGGGTGTACAGTAAATGTAGATATCTTGGTGCAGCTTTTACTGTTTTATATATAACCATTCTTTTTTAATTCACAACTCTTGTTTCTGTGTAAAGATTATTTTATATATTTGTGAAAGTTCTTGCAAGGTCTTTTTCCTCTTTTCTTTATAGGTATTTAAAGCAGTATTTATGATATGTATATTTATGTCATGTGTTCTTACAATTAAAAGGAAAAGAACTGCGTATTTTATTGTCTCATTTTTAGCTCCGCTGTCAACTTTGTCGAGCGGAGCTTATCATATGAGAGATTGTCTGTCGTCGTCCGTCTCAATGTTTTACTTTTTTGACTTCTTCTTGAAAACTACACGCCTGAATGCTTTGGTGTATATGTACCTTGGGTAGACCTCTCTTAGGTTTGTTCATTTCATGTTGATATCTTCAATTCTCTAATTTTGGTGAATATTTTTGTAATTTTTGGTAAAAAGTGATATTTTTGAATTCTTGTTGAAAACAGCAAGTCCCATTGTTGATACTATACATATTGTTCATTTTCTAATGATATCTTCTGTTCTTTAATTGAAATGTGCATTGCTAACAGCGGAGCTATCTCAGCCGAGAGGCTGCTTGTTTATTATAAAAATGTTGTATATGTAACAGGTAGCTGATTAAATTCAAAAAA